TGCATTGGCAGAACCTCCTGGATTTGCCAGCAGCACGTGTTGGTCTCCAGAGGCGGTGTCCTCGCCGACATCGCTGCTGCACATTTCCATGACCTCGTGCACAGCAGGGAAGGGCGTTGGAAGCTTCGTTTGGCCATCTTTTGGTAGCGATGTTCCCACTCTACCACCTCCTGAATGGTAGCGCGGCAGTGTTTTGCACAATCAGCTCTCTTTCATAGCACTTCGTGACGTTGCTGAGTCTTCCAAACCGATGTGCTCGGGCATGTTGCTGTGCAAGTGTCGGTTGTGCGCAGTCATGCTTTGACCTGCTTGGTTGTTCTTGCATATCCATATTGCATAGGCCGTTGCTATCCCGCAGCTGCTTGGCTAATTCTTAGATACATGGACCCGCTCGCATCGACATGGACCATGGTGATCTACTTCGGGAATGCCGAGCGCAACTTTCGTCTCTGACATCTCAGGTCAGCATAATCTTAGACGGACAACGTCGCCTCGAGACCTCAGCTCTGGCAGCTCAAACCATGCTTGCCCGGATTCTTCGCCAACCTTCCAACCCGACACCTCCTCATTTGCCTCGTGCTCCTCCGCCTATGACGCAGAACCCGCCGCCTCCTCTACTACACGTGCCACCTCATACTGCACCTTCAGGACTACCACCGCCACCTCCACCTCCTGAACCACTGCCTCCTCCTGCCTCAATATCCACAGCCAAGTCCCTGAAGATCGGCAGGCAGGCATCGCCTCAATTTCGGGCGGGCCGCTTTTCGGCACATAGCGAGTTGAGCGCCTGCGTCTGGATCTGGATCTAGAAGTTCGCCGGCCTCGGCAAGAGCGTCCCCTGCGATTCCTTTCACGGGATGCGTCTGGAAAAACACTCAAAGCCTCGATGTCATTGCGCACATGTGGAGTCAGCGTGGCACGGCGTGGCAGCTGTAAACGTAGTCATCGAGAGGTTGGCCTTGGTGGCGTGTGACGAGTGGGTTAGCTCGTGGACGTTGGTCACATGGCTTGTGGAAAATGATCCCTGGTTCACGCATTGTAGTTGCTTTTCTTGCTTGGCCGCTGTCTCATGTTAGCCATTTCGTGCTGAACTTGATAGTGTCCGTCATGCGCCTGTCTGATGTGTTTGTAGCAGATCTTCTGGCGACGTTGCAGACGCTGGTGTCATCGGTGACCGTTGCCATCAACTCGCTGCAGTATGCCATGGCCTCGTGGGGTACCAACATATCCAGCACAAACATCATTGAACGCCTGCCACCTCCACGCAACTCTCGCCATGGCTCTCGTCTACGCTTGGTGGCGGATCCCCGTCCCCTCATGCAGATCGTGTACGCTCACGTACTCCTGTTCGGCTTCGACCCATGGACACATCCTCGACGTGGTATATGATTCCGCCCTCTAATCGACGACTTCCTTGCCACCCTGCACATGATTCCGAACGTTGTGGTGATGCTGCCCTACTCTCCGCTGCACCTCCTCGTACCTCTCCACCGCCGGCGTCCTCGGCTTCATCGTCTTCCGACTCCATATCTCGAGATCCAGAAGCGGCATCAGTACGTCCTCCCCCTCGAGCGCATCACGGTCCTTCGAGCCTACTTGACTCATTTCATGTGGCCATGCGCGCTGACTATCCGCATCCGTTCCGGGCTTGGACGCAGACTCAACTTGACGAACTGGTTTGCCGCAAGACGGACAAGGATTCGCGCCCAACGTACAAGGCCATCGCCAAGATTTTTACGAAGGACGCTGCTGAAGTGAAGCGCTTAAGCCTGGACGACGTACCAGAAGATCACCGTCTAGCCTCACCTCGGCTGTGGAAAATAGATTCTGAGGTGCGTAAGTGAGTCGCTCATGCCTTTTACTTTTGTGTTTGTGTACTTGTTCTGCAGACACAATGGATCAGAGTTCCCAGACTGACATTACATGGTCGCGAGGACGCCTCCCGTCTTGGCTCACCGTGGGCCTGATGACGCACCATTACCGTTCCCTCCACCGCCGCCTCCGCCACTACCACCACCACCAGCACCTCCAATCTATGATGACGTGCCGACATAACATCATGGATGAATCACAGTCAGACATCATGCGTATCTGGCACCTTCCTCAACATCACCATCCGCCAGCTGTCTTACCTGAAGAACGTCATCAACACTGCCCATTTCCTCGACATCAACTCCTTCTATCCCCTTGCGCTTCTCCCAGACGTGACCAGCGATGCACTAAACTTCGCGACAGCAGATCAGCATCCCGAAGTTCTCGCAAATCCAAGTCAACTCATCGCGGTCGACCTTTCACCGTTTTCTCAACGAGACGATCCAGATCTCCGAGAACACATTGGACACGATGCCGCCTTCAATGTCAAGATCTTCCTCCTGGTCATCGACGATGCCTTGCACTGCGCCAGACGCAAACCCGAACATGTTCATTGCCGATGCTGGGCACACTGCGGCCGCTGAGGAAAATTGCGCAGTGCTATGTGCATCCGTTGCCTTGATTTCGTTTCTCATTGTGTTGACGTTGATTCCTTGCCGGATCCTCTTTCCGCTGATTTACAGTGCGCAAGTTTGTGAATTGCGTCTTGTCGCTTCCTCTACAGATTGACATGTATCCAGGGAGGAGGTCGGTTCCGCGGTACTTTGAATATGAAATCGTGGGCGGACCGGGTGACGCGGTTCAAGAATGGATAAGAATATTTACACCGGGATCCTTACGTTTCGAGAATGGAAGAAGTTTTACATCTTTGAAACACACTACATTCTGGATGCCACTGGAGGCACTTCACCTGATGAACAGCTTCGCGCGACATCTTTGCCCACGCACTACTGCTGGCATTTTCGTGACTGGAACACACTTGGTTGGCAACGACTACTACCTCCCGCACCGCGTCGGCCTCAACCACGCCACGCTCGGGACCAACCTTCCGATGTTTCATCAGCCTCGGATGGTGCCTGGAGAGAACCCTCGCCACCTCGGCGAACATTATCTGACTTAGAGTTTGATTGGAATGCGTGAGATTTGACTGAATGATGGTTGTCACGGGAGAAAAGTTATGGCGCATTGCAGTTCAGATGTTCAGGTTGCATTGACTCATTTCACCTGCTTGTTTCAGTTGTCGGTGTCTCATGCTTTTCATGTGTCCTCATGCACCATTTTTCCTGGTTTCCCGCATCACCAGACAGTGCGACCGTAACTGCTAGTCTTCGGCATGGCGTGGGTGGAGTGGTGTCCAGATCCTCGACAACCTGAACATCACTGGATTAAGATTTAGGAGCCTGGACCCTGTTAGATTGGGGCGATTACTGATCCCATCCTCACGCGCATCGCGAATGGAAGCGTGAACCGGCTGATGATCACCACGGTGAACGGCAACCAGTATGGCATAGGCGAGATTGGACCTCTGAAGGGTGCCGCCGGGTTGCTCCTCCCCAAGCAGAACATCAACATCGAGGACACACCGTGGTCATCTCCTTCGGCTGACTTTGCCACTACTTTGGACAGCATCTCGCATGAGGCTGCGGCGGTCATTTTGAACCTGATCCACGCTAATCCCTCTGCTGAAGTGACCTTGGATGACGTCATCACTGGCCTCGAGCGTATTCGCACAACTGCGCCTTCCAACAATGACGCTGGGATATCTCGCCCTAGCAGCCGTCCTGAACCTTACACCGCAGAGCTGTCTGGTATTGACAATACTTCATCTCCACGCTATGCGCCATTTCGGCGGACCACTAACCCGAGCGCACCTACGAGGCCTATTTTTGAGTCGTTACCGGATGTGTGAGTTCTGTGCCGGCTCTTGAAAATTGGGTTGTGCTTTGAGCTCGTTGCTTTGCATGTGCTTGTCTTGACCTCCATGCTGTGATGCTCCTGTTCAGCTGTTTTCGGTGCGTAGTGTTTCACCAGACGACGCCGTGGACTTTGATCATCCTGATGATGAACCTCCGCAGCCAGTGACACCGCGATTCAACTGGCTGGATATAAGCCCCAAAGTCAGGGTTGACCCGTGGGTTGAACTCAGTCGCTTTTTGCGGGGGAGGATCTATGTTCCTGATGAACCTGTCACCCTTGATGGAAACCAGGAACCACCCCCACTGGATGGCAACACATATCGGACCTGGAGCAAGCGTTGGACCGTTTATGATACGACCGTTTATGATACGACTCCGGGCGAGTAATTATGAAGATAGCCCCATGTACGTGCGGTGGACCTACGTCTGGAAACTTCAGGATTGGCGTTGTCAAGGGTATCAACGTGTCCTGGACCTTCACGCGCCTTTCCCACTGGACGCATCCCGTGCGGCCTGACTTCGTGACCGCGGGACCCCGACACCTGAGGACATCCTGACATTTAGAGTTCGTTCCAGATCACCAGGACGCCCAGGCTATTTTGGCTCCTGAATTGCTTTCGTGCTCACCTACCTTTCTTCCGGAAAAATCAGTGCGCTCGCCCCTGCTGTGTGCCGAGTTCCAGATTCACCCTGGAACCGTTTGAATTTCATGCAGGGGGTGCCAGGGGCAGAGCAAGGCTGGCACCAACGAAGACCTTTGCTCTTGCCTGTGATATCAATCTCGGACGCGAGATTGACCTACCTGCATCAGTGATTTAAAGTCCTTTTGGCCCGTTGTTTGTCTCGCTGTGTGTGCTTCATGTTGGATCTGGTAACGGCTTCGACTCTAGAGGGAAGCCATCGGTCTCGCCACTTGAAAATTACCCACTCGAACTACCCCAGCCGACAAGTTGTACTCGAAGATAAGCAACCTCCTTCGGGAGTTCAAGTGTGTCTGTTTCGAGTGTGCTGCACCTACTCAAAATCCCCCCCCCAAAAAAAAAAGAGCTGGCGTCGGAGCATTCGCTGATTGTGAGGCAATCATTTTCAACTTAGAGGCGCACCTGTTTTGTCCGTGTCCTTCAACGGCGATATCGCATGACTTCCAGAGTTTCGGGGCTCTTGGAGATGGGAGACGGCTCCCATAGAATCATGGAGGTTTGCAAACCTGAGGTTTGCGGGCTACGATTGACAGCGATCGGAGACTCGCGGACCAAAGTTGAGGTGATGGCCGAGACTTGGACATGGTGACAGCTTCACCCAATCCTGGCATATCGTATCATTTTGGGGTGCCTAGAGGCTTCTCCACCTTTGGCTAAATCGATGGATCGTATATGTTGTATAGCATTATGTTACATACCTACAAGACAAGAATCCGGAGATCAAAATCGAGTCTGTCGTGTCTAGGGTAAGAAGGATCATGGAGTGAGCCAGCACCAGCGCTCTGCGGCGAAGGATGTTGATCCATCAGTTCCACTTCCCACTATCTCGTTGGTGGACAAGCGGGTGAGGCGCGGGGGGTTTTGCCGCTGTCACGGTGCTACGCGCGCGCTCTAGCAGCTGCTCGTTGGTCTGGGGATAAAGAGCCAGCTGCTCGTTGGTCCATCAGCTGGCATGAGATGATCATCCCAACCCAAACTGCGGCAATTATGAGACCTGCCTGCCAGGAATCTACCCTGCCCCTTTGTCCAATGGACGTCCAATACACCACTGACGAACTCGTGTTGGGCTTCGTCAACCCGTTGGCTTGCTATGCTGTGCAGCTATGGGGCTCGTCCACAATCCCCGCCTATTCTGCCAAGTGTAGAAGACATGTTGTACTTAGAAACCATATTGTCGATAGTCGAAAACACCGTGCGCGCGCGCAAGAGGGCAGATGTGAAACCTGTTTTAGCCCATAAAGTGCGTCAAATAAACGTAAACACATATTGTTTCGAGGTGCTACCCCCCAACGGACAATGACCGCAAGGGCGAGGTGCAAGGCCTCCTACCATACTGATATGGGACAATAATTTACGACAACCCTAAACTGTGCAAAGCCAAGAGAGATGAGGGTGCCAACAACATCACAAAGTCCGCAAGCAGCTCAGTCAGATGTTGTGTTTCAAGCGAAGGAGGCCAACTGGCTTGAGGTTCCCTTTGAACCAGGCATGACACGAGCATGTCAAATGCTGTTGTGTGCATGCTCCAGCAATCGCACGCGTGTTGTCTCCTCACGTTCCCCATAGTCTAAAGTTGTGTTTTTCTTCGCTCACAATGGAAAGCGACTCGAAGCTAGAGAGTTGATGTGAGATAGTGGGGGGGGGCAGCCCCAACTTAGATTTGCAGATGCTTTAAATTATGTCAGACTGCGCCAGAATCAGTGTTCTTGGGGATTCCTGGATATGCTGCCGATGCGGGCCATGCTGTGCACTGGGAATGCTGGTGATGTTGCCGATGTTGACAATGCTGCCTGCTGGGATGCTGGTGCCGATAGCCAACGCCTGGTCTTTGAACGGAAGCCCAAAGGAGCTTCCTTAACACATTGTAGTTTAACCATGCGCAAGAGGGTTACTGTTCAGCCAGTCCGTCTCCGCTCATGAGGGTTGCCACTGAGCTCATTGGCTACTCAATCCAAACCACACTTCACACGCGGTCGTCTTTTTTGGACTATGGACATCTGAAACACACCCCGCTGTGGTAGTTGATTGCTCTCGGAGAGATAGAACCCACGCTTGTCAACCAAGAAAAGAATTGGCAAGACGTGGACAAATGTTCTTTCTAGAGCCCGCGATTCGCCCCAAGCCAGACCCCTTGCAGCACGAGCCAACAACTGTAACGCATGCCATTGCTTTTGCCTTCGGGTCGCCCCCAAATCGGAGCCCCTCCCCTGTCCAGATGCCATTGCCTTCGCCCTCGGAAAACCTTGGCGCCCTTTTGTAGGACCCAAGACTTGCCCCCAAGTTGGAGCCCTTGCAGCACGGACCAGACCAGCCCTTCATGCCGTTGCCTTTGCCCTAAGGGAAACCTGGCCCGCCCGGAAGCACGACCTTCCCCGCAATGCACTCCATTTTGGGGGTGAGGGCCAGTCACTTCGCTTTCCGTTGCTTCCTAGCTGGTTCGCAGCTCTCACAGAGCCACCCCTTCCAGCCCTTCCCACTTCTGCAACAATCAAGTCAAGAACCGGTTAATCGAGAGGTTGCGGAAGTTGAATTTTCATTGAATATGGATTGTTCTTGAGCTGTTTGCTCAAGGAAATTCGGTATGGATACATTGATTGTTGTTGGGCGCACTTGTGTTCGGATCCACCCAGACATTTCTTCCACCCCAGTTCTAGATGCCTGGATGTGGCCAGGCAGAGCCTACACTAGTTTAAGACATTATTAAGTTTAGATCATGCCTATTCTTCTTATGTTGGCGTGCCGGCAACATGATCCAGCCATCCGCAGGGATCTCACTGCATCAATCACAATTCCTACTAGCCAACCTTGACATCGCAGCTCGTACCTCGCCACCTTCTGGGCAAAGAAGCACAGGAGCCACGCGCGGGATGCAGCATGGCTGCTGCGGCACAAGCTGAAAGAAGCAGCCTCAGGACAGATGGACGGATCCTGAGCGCTTGACAGGGATTGTCCCGTGCTTGATGTACGGATGGTGAGGATTTGAGATATATTTGCTCATATACTGAAGCAGCACCCAGTGAGCGAGCGCTTTTTGTCGCAAGTCTGGAACTCTTGGCAAGCCGCCTGACTGCGCCAGGAGGCAGCGCCTGATCCCGAAGAAAGTTTGGCCTTGTACAGTTGACTCGAGGAGGCCATGGTTCCAGCACCTTTTTACGCAGATGCCTGATGGGGACAAGGGTCCCCAAGGCCAAGCGGCATTCCCTAGATGAGTCAATCAGGCATACCGCGACCTGTGGCAGGGGCGCTTACAACTTGGGAGGTGACACATGCAAAGCATGTAGCACTCACCCTGACAGTGCGAGACGAGCATCAACATACAGATTTGGCACAAACGACTTGGGCATCAAACAACAACTTATTCAAGGAGGGAAAATACGAAAGGAAGGAAGGAAGGAAGGAAGGAAGGAAGGAAGGAGGGAAGGAAGGAAAGAAAGAAGGAAGGAAGGAAAGAAGGAAGGAGGGGGAGGGAGGAAGCACATGCTCGATACAGACCTCCATACAGAATGCACCAGCATTTTCTGTTGTTGTCAAGGGAGTGGGTCAATTCCCCTCAACGCAAACCTAAACCGCGCCCTAAACTGATCCAACTACCGTGAACCAACCTTAGCCTACACCCCAACTTACTCCCTAATCCAAACACAACCCTTGACTCCACCATCAGCTGGCCCGTTACCCATCCAAAACCCATGAAAAACGACCGCGGCGATTTTAGAGTTGGCTTAGGGCGAGGTCTAAGGCAAGGTGCAGGACGGTTGAAGGCTGACTTGACCATCCACCCATCCTTACCATACAACCAACCTTAAAGTCAACTGTCAAGCCACCCGCAACCCAGCCTAACCCCCACAAAACAGACCCTGGGCCCGCCCTAAATTCACACTAAGTCCACCCTAAACATTCGTGGGTGAAGTTGTTTTGCCTGCAATAAGTATTTTGTTTGGTGGCTCAGTTTGTCGCGGTTTCCCAGCACAACATTCAACGGGTTTTTGTTTGGCAAAGAGGTTGCCTTTTGATTTTCAGAGATGAGCTGATTGTTGATGCCTACCGAGCTTTTTTCGACTCCCCGGACTGGCCGTCGTCTTGTACAGAAGCCAACCGACGCCGCTTCTGCCAGAAAACGGTTTCGCCGTTGCGGCTGTTGCCAATGCAAATGGTGCTTCTGGCTCGGCCTTCCTGAGGCTCTCGACAAGGCGCTCGAACCCGTCTCAGACTGAGCACTGAAATTGGGGGTTCTGAAAATGGCGGACCCGCTTAGTGGTGCTTAAAGGGAAACCAAAGGAGTTAGCCCACTTTTGGCCCCCCCCATTTTCACGTGTCCGTCCTACTTGGTCGGAAGCATGGCAGCTCAGGCACGGGCGGCTCCCGTGGTAAGGGGTCGCGCAGAGGCCAGGCCTGTGTGGAGGGTTTCGGATGTAGAAAGGCCACACGGCCGCACTTTCAGACGTCTTCTTTTCAGTCGAAATTTTGATAAACGGTGCTAAGATCAAGAAAGGCTTACGGATCAGGACACCAAGCCAGATCTTTTTGAGACAGCCGTGGCATGTCTCACAATCCAATCAGGCTATCGCCCGCCCAAGAACGCGGGCGAGCATGAGAAGAGACTCACCGAGCCAATGTCCAAGCTGTCGTTCTGAAATGTTTGCATAGACAATGTTTGAAGGAATGAACTGAGCTGAGGTTTATCCAGATCAACGGGCTCGACGATTCGTGCATCAAGGTGCGGCAAGGGGTGGACTGCTGAAGGGCTGTTTGTTCTTAGCAAGCCTCGCTGTGCTTGACACATCGCATGAACGAGTGCAGCTGCGGCCTTCTGAGAGTTGATGTCAATGTGCTGGTGCAGACAAATCTGATCACCAGCAGGAATCTATGCCTTGTTGAGCTGTTTCCACCATGATCTCTAACCTACTTGCGCCTCTACATCATCAAGCCTGGTATCACAGCCATCTCCCAATAACTCAAGACATGTCATCCCTGCAGATGTCGCCCCGAAGTCCTGGCCTACCAGGTTCTCCGGGACAGCGCGCCTGTATTGCAGGCCCGCGCTAGCTGCGGCTGGAACTGCCCCATCGATAGTTGGAACACCGAGGAATATGATTTGGATTGCCCTGGGAATTGCTTCTTCGTGGCCCTGGTCCGATTGGTCGATTCGTGTGCCATACACGGGCCTGGCATTGCCTAAGCCCCTTGAGCCACAATCACACCCGGAGCAGTGACTGCTAGTTTAGCAATGGGCAGTCCCACCAGAAGAGCAATGCAGCGACTGTTCGTTTGACTCGGGCGGTTTTGGGAGGACCGGCCTTGATATCAGGTGTTACGGCTCGTGTGGCCAGGAAGCTATCATGGACTCCTGCCCAGATCTGGAGATCAAGGCGTCCAATGATGGCAGGCGGGGAGAAACAGTGGTGAGCATCGCCGGTTGTGCCAGGAGCCTTTTCCAAGACAGTAAGGGGGAAGTCAAGAAGCAAAACCGCCGGAAGGTAGACAATATTTACTTGTTGCATGTCGTTGTGCCTTTGCACTTCAGTGGCTTGACGAGGCGGACACTTAGTTTTTTTTTCTTCTTCTGGGGTGCTAATTCTGTTCAGGAACAGCTAGCGTTGCTAGAATGCTGGGCAAGCGTTGCTAGGGCTGATGCCAACGTGCCCGCGATGCTTGTGCACGAATGCCAGTGATGCCAGTACCTGTGATGCCAGTACGGTGATGCCAGTGATGCTCATAACAGATGCCGGGGATGCGAATAGTGCTGGTGTTGCTAGTTCTAGTGAAGCTGTCTGCCTAATATGCTGATGATGCTTGATGCTTGGTGATGCTTGCAATCCTAGTGCCCCATTGATGCTGATGATGCAGGTGAGCGGGATGATGCCGGTTTTGCTGATCAGCGTTGCTGGTGATGTGACACACTGTGTTGCTTCTTCCAGCAATGCTGGGGGTAGGATATAAGGTACCAGGAAGGATAGCAGGTTTCCCAATTTGATTGTCATGTCCTGCTCTGCCAAGGCCTTTGAATGCCAACGCGGCGGCTGCCTCAGGGAGGCAAATCTAGGCTTGGCCAGTGGACATCAACCCTTTGCTTCGTGGACTTTGGGGAAAACAACGCATTGCGCACCACTTTTGGGCCACAATCTCAACCCGGGTGGATGAAGGATAGTCAGCGACAATCCAAACCATACATAGCTGCGGCCGCCAGCACCAGCCAGCAAATTTACAAGTCGAAGCTCCGAGGTTGTGATGGCAAAGCTGCGCAAGGAGCGGGAGCGTTTGAAGAGCCAGGCGCTGGCATGTGGCTTTTCGGGCATCTGAGCCTTCGGATGGTGAGTTGGTCCTAGCGATGTTGGTTTCCAGGATTTTCCCGAAAACGAAACCTCCAAAGGAGGAATCTTCCATAAGAAACATAATCACTGAGGCTTGTTTGGGTTATCAGAGCCTTGGCGACCACCTGAACGGACTGCTTTTGATAGGACCACACCCAGACTGGCATCTTCATGGGGACATGCCAACGCGTCGGGTCTGCTTTGTATCCCCTGTGGCTTGCGGTTTTGGTGTTTACCAGTTTCACACTGCTCTGACCCTGATGTTCACAGCTGCTGCCGGCAGGGCATCCGGCTGAAGGAATCCAGCCAGCAGGCCCGGGCTGGATGATGGTGTAGAGTGCAACCCGATCGTTCTTTCACCTTTAGGCAGCTACCCTTCAGGGGGGATGGAAGCTCCTTTCCCAGCCATGCATGGAACGCCATATTTGCCGGATTTGGCGAGGAATCGGACCAAGAAAAGCTGAGGGGAGTGCAATCTCAAGTTGTGCCAGGGCAAGAAGGCTTGGTCTCCAAGGAGCCACAAAAGGCCTGCAGCTGTGGGTGGAGAATAGTCGAAGGATTGCCGAGGCCCCCTCCCCCCTACAACAGAGCAACTTCAAGATATGCCAACAGTTTTCTTAGGGAAGCTGCAGCCCTGGGATAGAATGACGCCAGAGGGTGCAGCGCATCCCAAAGCAGTAGGCCGTGGGTCAACGCTAGAGATGGACTTAGTAGATCAACTATCTTGTCTTTGCGAGGCCATTTGTTTTCATATTATCCTGCTGTGTGCAGTTCGGATCAAAACAATCAGCGACATGTAACCACCGACTGGCGGGCACCAATGTCATTGTGAAGCAAGCAGAGGCGAGGGGTCTGAGGCAATGGCAGACTCTTGGGCAGAATGAGTCATGGCGGATAATTGTCGGAGACGTGCACGGCGGCCGGGGTCGCGTACTAGCCTACCGGCAGCGCTGCCATCCTGCCACTCACGCGCTTGAGCGATTGAGGCAGATTCAAACCTTTGCTGCGTGGCAGACGGCGGCGTCTCTGCTTGACAGCTCGTACTGTTCGGTTGACGCTGGGCTTGGGCCAGTGCAGCGAATTCGGCTTAATGAATTGTGAGCCAACCATGTCAATGAGATAATGAGGCTATGGGGAAGGGTGGGGGTGCTCGCAGGCCTTCTTCCAACGACAGATCCAGAACCAGGCATGCGTTGCCATTGTCGCATTGCGACTTTTTTGATTGATGCAGCTTCGGGCAAGGACAACTGCACAAGGGAGGGGCAAACTAAGTTTTGACTTCAGAAACTGAGTATTTCCCAACTAGCAGTTTTGTTTCTTCTGGCTATTTCACAGTACTCCTAAAAGGTGATCTGGAGATTAGGGAATCCCTTTTGCTTTGATTTCAACAGGAACTGGAGGTTTAATTCCCAACCCCCAATAACAAGGTCAAGGTGATGATTGGAGCATGGTGATGATTGGTAGCATGGCCATAGCCGCATGTCCGGGGTTTTGTAAGTTGCCTCGACCTCACTACGGCACCCCAGTGCGACGCCTCGAGAGGTCCCCCTCTCACCGCAGATCAGAGGACCGCATGGTGTCAGCGAATCGGCGAATTCTGCATGATCAATTCGCACGTGGTGGCTCATCATTCCCTTGACGCGTTGGTCTTTCGTCCTGCCTATTCTGCGCTGGGAAGGAAGTAGAAGTCCACTTGCCCTTTT